TCAAACAACTCAACTAACTCTCCCTAATAGCAGACAACTTCACTAATCCACATCTAGTCTCTTTTCTCTCTCCCCTACATCTTATTTTCTCTCATTTCACTTATTTAAATTGCATAACTATAGAAAAGAAAAGGAAAAATAAATTGATATGTAAAATACAAATGTTGGACGATCAATGTTAAATTTTTGGTATTGTAGGGTGTTTTTAGGCACAGTGTTATTGCTATTATGTGTGTATATGCAATATTGAGCGAGACAATATTTGAAATATTAATTTAGTTTCTTTTTTTTTTCTTTGAATAAACAATTTGAAATTAATTTAGGCCAACTATTTTTTTAGAGTTTCTTTTGAAAAAAATGACCAGTGGAAAATATCAGTTTGTGAATATGATTCATTAAAAGGCTAGTACTTGGTACATGTCATCTATTAAAGTAAAACATGGCGTAAACCAATTACCAAGTTGACCATCACAATTATTTATCAACTATCGCAACAACATAATGTTAATAGCCATATACTCAATTTCAACTATAGCCATATAGAAACTTAAACATCCCCAACTGAAACAATAACAAACATGTAAATATACATATTTGCATATAGCAAACAATTGAAGACACAATGTAAAATACTTTAATGGATCAATCACTTTGAATTGCTTAAATACATTTGCAGATTCCAACAAATGTATGCCTATTTGATATTTGTCAATTTTTATGTTTTTGTATGTAACTTTTCAATAGGAAAAAATGGCTGCTCTTATCTTATGAAATGAAAGCCTGATGTAATGGTTCAAGGTCGCAATACGGCGTCGCGGTGCGGTATCAGGCGATACGACCTAAAAAAAAAATGTTGTCCATAACGAGAAGTTCAGGTCATACTGTGGTGCTGCTGAACTATATCGACCGATTCAATGACGACAACTCAACAACTCGGGAATTGACTCGGATACAATTTTGACGAATTGACCGAGTCGTGCGAGACTCGGTGTTTATATGTATTGTATAACGGTATTGTCTCGAGAGGTACCAAGTCGTATCCGACTTATATCGGTATCGACCAATACTTTGAACTATGCCTGATGTAGAAGAAAATATTTGTACAAGAACACAAATAGAAAATTGCCAAAACTAATGGCAATGCTTCAATTGGTCGATCACACGTACAATGACAACTAGATCAACATTGGGCTTGATCGAATATAGACTTTATGTACTATATATTCCAAGAAAGCATGCAAACTATTTTTTTTCCTTGGTCATGGTGCAAACTTGGATTATTTTTAAGATTGCTCCTCTCATAATAGTTATAGACCTGAAGCAAAAGAAAAGCCAACTTCGTAGTGTTCAAGTTAAAATTTGATTACCTATTTGCAATTTGTCAATGTGAAATGCAATAGAGCAGGGCTGCAATTATAAAAAAGGAGGAACAAAGGAATGATCCAACAGCAGTAGAGCAATGGCTATTTTGCTTCGAGTTGCAAACCAAATCTATTTGACAAATCGGGCAATAAAAAGTGTAGCAATGCCAAAAACTAACTAGGATCACTATCATTAAAAACCTAGCATGTCAATATGAAAAGAAAAAAAAACCATAGACGGGAAAATTGAAAATCCATAAAATCTAGGAAACACTATTTAGAATTGCACAAACAATGTATGACCACAACACCATAAAATGCCAACTAAAAAAATTAGCAGAAAAGGATCACTTATAGTCTACTAAAATTTGTGTATTTTCGTTGAAGCAAACCGTCAAACACTCGGGCACCATGGGTGTCTAATGGTGGGGTTTGGTGGTTTGTGTTGATTGGATGAAAGGATTGGGTGTTTGTGTGTGTGATGTGGAGGGGTTGTGTGCACTCCACTTTATGAACTACCCTTGGGGAAGCCCTTTCAGTGAGGTAAGGAAGAAGATGGGCAAGCGATTCTCCTCCAATTGCATTGATCAGTTGGATGAGAGGGCAAATGTGTGTGTGTTCTGTGTGAAATATAAATGAAATGCAAAGTGTGTGGGTGGTGGTGGTGGTGGTGGAGGAAAGGGGGCGTAGTGCAAGGAAAGGGAGACATGTGTGGAAAAACCACAAGGTTTGGTGAGGGAGTTGTGCACAGAGAGGATGACAGGGAGAAGCGGATGGGGGGATCTTTGTGTGTGTTAGCAAAGATGAATCCAAGAGAAGGGAGATGGGAAGGGAGAGAAATACTTGAAAGGATGGTAATGATGGCACTACGACGAAACAGATGATGGTGCTAATAGCTAGCATTATTGACAATGGCGGCCTGGTTGGGAGGAGATAGAGACATAAGACCGGAATGAGCGAGAGAGAGACTCTGATTAACTGGTTAGGGGAGGTGTGTAGCCTTGCAGGTTTGATTGATGGATGAGGGTGGAGGAGAGAAAATAAGTAATGGGAAGAATAAAATTTTGGGTGAGTGATCTTGTACTATTTGTAATATTAGATTTCAACTTAATTGATAGGTTTGACATAAATATATACATATACATATACATATAATAAGACTAAAAGGACCAGTGTATCTCTTTGGGGCACACTACTTGTTACAAATTCTAGCATTTAGAACTCACCGGCAAAAAACTTGTTGGTCAAAACTTAATTTTCTTGATGAAGATATCAACATGTTGGTGTCGCTCATGATAAATCGATTTTGGTTATAGTTTGATGACTAATAATTTTTTTGACTATCATAGTACTTATTCTGTTGAAAGTTCATGTATGTTGTTTAAATGTTGATAAAATATCTAATACTTAGATACAAGGATCGAAATTTCGTTTCGAAGTACCATTTCGGTCAGCTCAAAAACGGAAACGCAAAAAAAAATATGGAAACGCGTGAAATCACAAATATAATCCATTAATTTATAAAGATAAGCTAAATAATTTATTAATTCAATATATTTATTGGGTTAACATTTATTTATACAAGAATAAATTTAAATTAGAAGGAAAAAAATGCTTGACATGAGACTAAAATCGCTTAAATTAGTTTCAAACTTTTAATTTTTATCAAATAAACACATTTTTACATAATATTAAGGTCTCATAATACACATGAAATTCTAATGAGTACATACTTATATGGTTACATCCATCCCCTTGTGGAGTGTCGAGCAGGCTCATACATCAGTGTAGGCTCTAGGTAGCTACTTAGAGAAACTCTATATGTGACATAAATATGATGACAATAGTTACTCCAACTCATATTATTACGATAATATGAATTATATTCTCTCCCAAACCTCTAATAGTCTATAACACTATATCCAATCTGTTGGAAAACGAATGCACCAGTCTCTGGCTAACCTTCATCTTGTCTATATGAGGAGGATGTCTGGGAGTCATAGCCAGATCCATAAACATAAGTTGAGGATCCATATTCGTATCTTCGTGTGTCATACCCCGATTCATAATCATATGAGGGAATGCGATGTCCAGAACCATAATCATATGAAGACGACGAACCATAATTGTGGTGTTCACTTCCACTTCCATTTTCACTTCCACTTCCACTTATACTCATAGTAGAAAAATCATCATTAATCGTATCAGCTCCATGCCTAATAGCACCCATACCATGTGGAGTGATCGGATTTTGAATACGCTTACGTTGACGATTTCGAGTTAATTGAGTGACGTTCATATTGACACATTCATTGAGAGCCATGATCTTCATCTTGTGTAGCATGTGTAAATCCTTCCTCTACAGTGAATACAATTACATGTGGACTTTGGTTTCCCGTACCTCCATCACCACCACCTCCATTGCCTCCATGTCCATGGCTATCACCACTTCCACTACCAGCACCACCACTATCTTCATCATCATCTTCACCACCACCATCATCATTACTACCATCACCATTATGATCATCCTCAGAACTACTAGTGACAGTGATAGGTTGCTTACGTCTTGGTGGTCGTCTCATTAGTCTGTCAAACTCTTTATCATCCATTGCTTTATTTGATCATTCTTTACTTATTTGGATCTTGATTTTCGTGGTAGCACAACACCTTGACTTAGGCCTACGCCTCTATTGTCATCGGAAAAGCGATTTGCTCACATTGCCAAGAAAGTGTTTGGTCTTGTTGGTTGCCCATCATCATCAAGTTCATCTAAAAGTGCATCACTAGGATCATCTAACCACTCCGAAATATCTTTGTTTTTCTCAAAAACAGTGGTTAAGTCTATAGGTCTGAATTCATACCCTTTTTTGTTCTTCATAAGGTGCTTTAACTTCAACCTCATGTTATATTGTGCAAACACCAGCCTTTCTAACTTTTGATAATTGAGTCGATTCCGCACTTTAGTATGAATGAGAGCAAATGTGCTCCAGTTTCTCTCACAACCACTAGATGAGGTTGTTTGTGACAATTCGTTACCCGTAGTTCCATCCAATATCACGTTTTTTTTTTCTTTTATCTGTTTGTGACATTATATTCATTCTACAAATTAAATATGACTTGTATAACACTTTTAAATTAAAATATTATTCAATTAATAATACTATTTTATTATAATACTAATAATGAAGGGTATTAAATTAAATTAATGGTACTTATGTATACTTAAAAATTAAATGTAATTGCAGTGGATATTAAATGTAATTACAGTGGATATTAAATATAATTACAGTAGGTACTTGCACAGTAGTGGGGTATTAAATGTAATTTCAATAGGTATTAAATATATTTGTAATGGGTATTAAATAAAATTACAGTAGGTGTTAAATATAATTATAGTAAAGTATTAAATATAATTGTTCATACCTATAACAAGTATGAACAAGTATGTTCACAATTATAGTAGGGTATTAAATATAATTACAATGGATATTAAATGTAATTGCAGTGAATATTAAATATAATTAGAATGGGGTATTAAATGTAATTATTCATAGTTATAACAAAAAAACAAAAATATAAAAGTAGAAGACCTGCACAGTTCAACCACATGACCGAACAGATAGACAGAGAGAAGGGCAAGAGGCGTAGGCGATCGTGATGCCGTTGTCGGAGAGAGAAAGAGAGAGAGAAGAAGAAGAGAAGAATATACCTGTGGACTAGTGGTAACTCGTGGTCGCAGCGATGAAGGCTGGACAACTCCCAAGTCCTAGATCTGCGTGGATAATGCTTGGATCTACTCAAATCTGGAGTCAAATAGGTAAGTTACAGTAATTTCTCCTTCAATTTCTGGTTCGTCTGGTTCCTTTCTTTCCTTCTTCTCTGTTTTTTTTTTTTTTGCTTGGGGCTGTGAACGATTTCTGAGACATACATGTGATTTCTGAGAAGGAATCTGCTTTTTGCCTTTTTTTTTTTTTGGCTTGGAGCTGTGAATGAATCTGTTTTCTGACTGAGCCTCTCTCTTTTGTCTTTTGGCCTGGAGTGAATCGAATATATCACTATTTCTTACGAAACGGTTCGAAACATTACCGTTTTGACCAAAACACTGAAATTTTGTGATTCAACCACTGTTTCGTGTCGGAGTGTAGAAATTCTGAAACATTTCAGATGTTGCGACACGACATTTTGATCCTTGCTTAGATACGAAATTCTAATGAGAAAATTACTTTATAAAATATTGGAATGCCATCAGAATCCTTGGAAACGGATGCTCATAATGATGCCAAAAAAGGGATCTAATCCCATAATCCTTGCTTGCACACACCTCTATCATAAAATATTCTAGAATTTCTTTCCAACCAAATCACCCATAATATGGCAAAATTGTACAATGTCAAATGGTCACCCTTTCTCATACTTTCCAAATTCCTCCGGTAGCATGTAAGTAAAAGTCTCGGGAATCACCCAACTCAAAGCTTCTAACTAAAATAGCTTGACCACAAAAACAAAGTAATAGGGCTATGCAAAAAAAAAAGATGATCAATACTCTCACTAGCACATGCACACATCACACCCCACTCTGGAGAAATGTGAAGAAATTGTACTCTTTTTCTGAAGCACATCATTAGTATTAATCCTACCATGAGCTATAATTAATGCACAAACTTACACTTTAATGGGCAATTTAGCCCTCCAAATGCACTTTAATTTTAGTTTTTGTCATGTTATGGAATTAATGTGCAAAAAGAATTGCTGTTGAATATAAAACTTATTACGTAGTATAAGTTGGCTAGCCATATTTGTACAAGCGTTAGAATTTGATTTTAAGCAGTAAGATACCCATAAAAAATATTGAAAATGAATTAAATGAATTTTTTGCCACAGTTATGAAATGGAATGGATGCCTAAAATAGAGTTAACTAAAAAAAATGAGATAAAAAGATGGCTTTATTTATCATTGTTTAAGAATGTTGTTTGGTGATATAATTACTTTTATGACTGTTATTTTTCAGCATCAGTCAATCACTTTCTTTTGGCCCCTATGCTTCATATGCTACTTATGTGCCAATATTGAATCCATGTTCCTTATTTACTATTCTGAAGATACTAATGGTATCTTTACAGATGTCAATATTAAAAGCTAATAGCCAAAGTTTTAATTTTTCCCTTCCCCCTTCTCCTTTTTATTGTTCCCTATCATCAATATCATGCTTCTATCATTATATTAACATTTTCTGAACTTCTGCTTTGTTTTTGTTAGGTTCTTTTTTTAAGGTAAATAAGTTTTTGCTGTAGTTATATACTTCCTTTGATATCATGCCTCCACTTATATAGGTTGACAGCTTGCTTGGTGCTCGTGGTGGTGCTTTTGAGCATGAGGCGACTAGAAGAATGCGGAATGAGTTTATGGCAGCCTGGGATGGATTGAGGTCAAAAGACAGCCAGAGAATCCTTATCCTAGGTGCCACAAATCGGCCATTTGACCTTGATGATGCTGTCATTCGCCGCTTACCAAGAAGGTAAGATTGTGACTAATGGATTCTCTGTTGAAGTTTTGACTAGAAGCTTAATAGACAGAATAGCCCACGATGGGTGTTTTGGTTCCTGTTCTCCAATGCTCTGCATGTGAGCCATGCTTGTTTTGGCTGCATGCTTTATGGTTTACAGTTGCAAAACTCTTTGTTTCAAGAATACACTGACAAAAATTGGACAAATAAACTAGATTACATCTGCTAATGAAGGATATTGGTTGTTATATAGGATTTATGTAGACCTTCCGGATGCTGAAAATCGTTTGAAGATACTGAAAATAATTCTTGCTGAAGAAAATCTACAATCTGGATTTCAGTTTGAACATCTTTCAAATGAGACCGAAGGGTATTCAGGGAGTGATTTGAAGGTAATTTACTGCTTTTTACTGGTTGTCTGCTTATCGTTGTCTTCTATTTCTTATGGTTATGTCTTTTGCAGAACCTCTGTATCGCCGCAGCATATAGACCTGTCCAAGAACTTCTGGAGATAAAAATGGAGGTAAGTGCATCTGGCCTTAAATTTTACTATCTATCATCTAAATAATATTATTCAGATTCTCCCCACTTTGTGTGAAATGGGGATTGCCTTGGAAAACAGTGTTTACTGGGCAGGTCATACGTGTGTCATCAGTTGTTTTTACTCTGTTTATATTTGCTCATTATCACTAATTGGTGAGTTTATCACGGTCCTCTCTCTCTAACCTTGAACCGCTTCTTTTTTATTAGTAGTCCATTTACCAAATTCAGGAATGCCAGAGGGTTCCAGAATTATTGGACTATGATAGGATAGAATGCCACGATACCTTAGTCATTGGTTCTTGAGAAAGTGGAAGGCTCATTTACTTGTCTAAGAAGAAGTATCATCAATGGGAATTTGGTGGTGTGTTATGTTTTTTTCTGGAGACCTGGTGTATGACTTGAGTCAGGTGAATTACTAGAAAAGCAATTTCAAATGGGAAATGTTTATTGTTTGAGAAAAATATGAGTAAAGCTGCACAATAGTATGTGCTTTAGTTCTGATTAATAGGAATCTGTTATAGGTAGCATGTTAAATTGATTGTCTATGGTAGATTTTATTCCTGAGGGTTCCTTCTTCTAAAAACATTTATGGTAGCAGCGACATTGACTTGTGCTGAAGCCTGCTATCAAGCTGCGCCTCCTATCTTTAGCTTCTGGTGTATAGCCAAGCCAATGGCAGAAACTCTACCAGGTTATGGAGGTGGTGATCATCACTTGAGTGGCAGTTGTTCTGGAATAGACTTATTAATTTAAGAAGACAATCTAAACGCCTGAAATATTGATTATATGTTAATTTTATGTTTAGTCACACGCTTTTCTTACTGGCCATATATCTCTGATTTGTAATGACTTATTTGCCTGCTCAATATTCGGTTCTCTTTTCTGCAGGGAAGCAGAAATGATTTGGCTCCAGCATTAAGACCACTCTGTATGGAAGATTTCATTCAGTCAAAAGCGAAGGTAAATTTTCTTCACTACTTTCAAAGGTTGTGATGTGGGAACAAAAGTCAATACTTTTGAGAGCCAAACATAGTTATCTATTTATTGTCAAACACTATTATCAATAAGTATATAGAGATCAGGATTCCATATGGTATAGTAATTCGGAGTATCAAAGTGCTATAATACCATGAGAAAGATCACTACTTGGCCTTTGGGTTAGCAAGTCTATGTGGCAAAGTGGATCTATGGCAAAATATCTGCTTTGTGAAGCAATTTTTTTGGCTGTCTTCTATAAAGTTAGTATTGAACAATTTGTTGTTGGGTAGGATCATAGTTATTAGTATCGTACGATACGCGATGCGTATCATATGATACGTCACGATACACCTAAAAAACGATACGTATCGTGTTTCTGTATCGTTTTTGCACCTTATCGTAAGATACGCGATACGATACGTCCGATACGTGACGATTCTTTTTTTTTTTTTGTTTTTTTGGGGGTTGAAATGACATCGTTTTATCCTAGAACTTAATTTTAAATCACTAGTTAGTGAAACAACATCGTTTTTGTGGTTATAGTTTAAAATAAATAAATAAAGTTCAATGTTAATGTTGTCCAATTGAATTTAAAATTCTTGATTAATATTAAAGTTGTTCAAGCAGTTGATGTTAGAAGTTTGAATTAAAGGCATTTGTATTTTGATATTATTGAAATATGTTGGAAACTTGAATAGTTGGTGGAATATTAATGAGATACTATGTTATTTTGAGTCTATGACTTTTTTATAAAGGTATATACATATATTTTATTAATAATTACTTAAAAATTAAAATTGCGCGTATTTTACGATACACGATACGATACACTATTTTTAAAAAACGATACGCCTTCTTATACACGATTTGACAACTATGGGTAGAATGACAAAGTTGCATGATTATGCTTAGCTAGAGCATTTCTATGCAGTGTCTCTCGTACAATTTGTTGGCCTGCAAAATTTTCCTCGTCTCACTGGTAGGAGGTATGTTACCTACCAGTAGATGCCCACAGCTTTAAGCATGTTTAGACAACCATGCAGTGTATGTCAGATGATCCTGCCCACTTAGAATCAAAACTAACTTATGCATAAATATTTAATCATTGCCATGTGGATATTGCAAGTGCTTATGTACATAAGTGTCTTGGAAAATCTCATTTTCCAGAAAGGAGAAAACAAGGGGAGGGGGAGGAATTTCTGTCATGTGCGGGGTGAGTGGATTGAAGCAAATTAGTGAACTTGAATGCAGTTGTAACTTCAAAATTTGTGTGTCCATTTGTCATGTAAAGTTTTTGATTTTGACAATAGAGAATTCGATCTTACTACAGCCTTGTGGATCCTTTGCCTCATGAGCCACTGGGTTGTTAGTTGTTACAATGCTGCTTGATATTTTTCTGCTGCCACTTTTCACAATGAATGACAATTGTTAGGCTTTTACACAGTTTACCACTCCCAGACCCCATTAATGAGGCCAAAACTGAATGTTTTCAATTGTTGTTTAACAATGGTCATGGAGATGAACATAGAACCTAGTCTGGTAGAATATGAAATGAAGCATAAGTGGCTGTGATATCAAAGAACTAAAGTCGAAGGCGGCTTTAGAGAATCTACATACTTGCACATAATGGAAAGTCTATAAGAAGGGTTGCTAGTAACTAAACACGTGAATATAGTTACGGTGTGTCATATCTGCCTTATTTTGTTATTGCATTTTTATTTGGGACAGCACTAGTCGTGGTCTATCAAAACAAAAATTGATTTTCTACTCCCCGAAAGATGGAAACACACTGATTTCGAATAGAAAGAGGTGGCCTTCTATAGTGTGGTCTCCATTCATTGAGGGTGCTAAGACGAGTAGTCAGAGTACAGTTTTGACATTGTCATTGTTAGTGCAAGGCGGTTGTCCTTTTTGCATATGTATCCTGATGGTAGACAGGATCACTCTAACGTGGTGTACCCTGTATGCATGGTTTATGCATTATTGTGTGACTTCGGGAGTGAGTCATAGATACGAGTCCAAAAGGTATGTGGTTGGGACAATTCTTCGTTATCAAGAAGTACCAGTATTTAGGAAAACAAGATGGCTGCAAGTACCAATCAACGATGCAGAGATAATCGTCGTTGGATCGTGTCCAGATAATCAGGGCCGCTAATTTTGGCAGATTCTGATACCCATACATGTTGCCATCCCCACTCAAACTAGGTGTTGTGGTATATGGACTCTGCTTACAAGGGTATAAATATAGTTAAGAGTAACGATGCTTTGGATTCTAAGATTGACCATCTCACTTGCCCTTCTCCCTAGGCATGTATGCAACTTGATCTTTCCGGAAATTATGCAGGTGTATTTTTCATAAGCTGGACTGGTTTGCCTGAAAGTCAAAATTATTGGTGTTAAACTAATGGTAGATAACAATACTTAAGTGGCATGCCATTGATGAGTGCAGCATATTACTAAGATCCGTGGAGATTGACAGGATGTGGATTTTTTGTATACTTACTTTTAAAGCCCCAAACAGTTATGTTACACGGCAAACATGATGTATCCGCTCAAAATTTGTGTGAAAAATATTAGGCTTATGAGGTTTATTGCTGAATAGGTTCCATATCTGTTTTTCAAATAGATGTATAGTGCTCTCTAGAATATGTTGAGTTCTTCGATGAGGAACTCGGGGAATCCTTCTCAAAAGAGGGCAAATCTTCAAGCTTTGGAAAATATGTCTGACTTCTAAAATGGCTTTTGGCACGAATATGACTTTTATGAATCCCTTGAATCTGGTTACCTATTTTCTGATCATACTTCGTCTTACTTTTTTCGTTGAGAATTTTTTACCCTGAAATATCATATTGATGTCTATGCAGGTGGGGCCATCAGTTGCTTATGATGCAGCAAGCATGAATGAGCTTAGGAAATGGAATGAACAATATGGGGAGGGAGGAAGCAGGAGAAAATCCCCATTTGGTTTTTGAAACTAATGTAATAACGTAGTCCATTATTTATCTCTTATCCTCTTTTTGTACTAATGAAGACACGTCTCTGTATAATTTTTTTAATACACTTGAGTTTGATGGAAATCCTTTGCTTTTTAATAGCGAATGTTGGAGAGTGACTTGTGAGATATAATGTCTAGTGTTGAGAAATATATATTTTTTGTAGCATAGTGGTCCTAGATAATGGCTAATTATGCCTTTGTAGGCCAACAAAATACTTTATTTTAGATATTACAAGCAATATTCGTGATTTTAGCCTTTGTTATGTTGTTATGTTATATGTTATTTCTAGTATAAGGGTATTTTAGTATTTTGTAACGCAACTATAAAACATTGGTGTAGTTGTGTAATCCTAAGATACACTGTGCTCTTATTATATTTTTTTCCTTCTTTCTTCCTCTCTTTTCAAAGGGGAGTTTTGCCATTTTTTGACTGTCGACACTGTTGTTTGGCAATGTTCAGGTGCTAGGGTTCACCGTTTGACAGTTGTGAGGCTTGTTATGTGCCTATGAGGTGTAGTTAGTGGTATTTCTTGGTTATGGGCTACTTCTTCGATGTTGTTTTTTGCGATTTATTGCTATTTAGTGTAAACATGTCAGAAGGTAGTACGACATCAATTAATGATGGGTAAGTATTAGAGAAAGTGGGTTGACCTGTTTGGGTGCTCTAGCAAATATCATCTCTCTCCAAATTAGACTAGAGAAATTGTATGGGGCAACTATTTGGCATAGTCATAGGCCTGTATATAATCAGTCCAAGCGATATCTTTAGACGGATAATTGATTGGAAAGACTAACAAGCCTAGTGAGTTTGACACCTCCTTAAAGTAGTGGACACTTGAGAATGCTTGAGTTATGTCTTGATTGTTTAACTTAATCCAATAGTCTATTAGTCTTGAGTTTTTGCTATTTGATATGATACATAAGATTAGGACTATTGTATCCCATACATATTCTCAACGGGGCAACGATCGTAAGGCATATGATCTTCAGAAAAAAGTTCGATAGACTAATTAGAAAGATAAAGACTTTTATAGTTTATTATGTGGAGAAGACTATTTTATGGCAGGAGCTTTATTACTACCAAAATTTTTCGGTATATTATGCTAATGATGTGAAATTTCAATAGATGGTGGAGAAGTGTTGAGATAAGTGCTACCGTTGCTAAGGATACCTTAAAATGTGACTATTGTGGTAAGACCAGTCATACTTAAGAGTTTTGTAGGAAGCTGACTTGATGTCCTACACATGACTGAGAAGGTGGCCAAGGGGGTAATGTGTGATCCCATGCACACATGATTGAGTCTTCAATTACTCCATCTTAGTCTAATGTCTCTCAAGATGAGTGCAAACTATCAAGTGTTTGATAGCTCGGCTTGATGTTTTCTTTGTTACTACTGTTAATTATACCTTTGTCTCTTCTTTTTCCAACTTTGCTTATACAGGTATATCTACTAGTGTGATTACTATGCCGTCCTCATAAACTCTCTGCAAAATTGATTTTGGAACCACAGATCACATGATAGATTCATCTAGTTTTTTTTTCTTCATATTGTACATATTTTGATAGGAATAAAGTTAAGGTGGTAGATAAATCTTTATCCTCTATGTCTATGAAATGTTCGATTAATTGCTCACTTTTTTTATCCCTTTCGTCGGTTTTTCATGTTCTCAATTTTTTCACTAATCTATTGTTTGTTAGTAGTGTTATAAAATCCTTGAATTATTCAGTGATTTTTTGTTCTCTTCATTGTACCTTTCAATAGTTAGAATTGGGGAGAATGATTGGTATTGATAGAGCACATGATGGTTTATATCTCCTAGATGTAGAAGCTTCTCCTCAGTGTACATGTCAAGCTCTTCATACAAATGGTGTTTTAGGCTTTCAGTTTTTGCATCAGTGGCAGACTTTTAGGGGATCCTTCATTCAACGTGTTAGAGCATTTTTTTCCTAGTCTACTAAAGTAGTATAGTAGGCAATTTTTTGTTTGTGATACTTGTGAATTTGTCAGGCATAAACGTTCAACTTATCCTAGTACTAATAATAAAAGCACTGTTTCCTTTGTCATTATTCATTATGATGTGTGGGGGGCCCTTCTCGTGCTATGTCTATTTTTTGTTATTGTTGGTTTGTTACTTTTATTGACTGTTATTCTCGCCTTATTTGGGTTTACCTAATGCGTAATAGAAGTGAAGTTTTTTCATGATTTATATCCTTTCATAAAATTGTAGTACCCAATTTGAAGGTAAGGTTGGTGATAATGAAGCTAAGTATATTGATGAAAATTTTTGTTCTTACCTCAATGAGAATGATATTTTGTATCAAACCACTTGTGTGAGTACCTTTGAACAAAATAGTGTTATCAAGTGAAAAAATGGTCACCTTTGTGAGGTTGCATGTTCATTGATTTTTGGTATGAATGTTGCTCAATCTTTTTGAGGGGATGCAGTTCTTACTGTTGCTTATCTTATCAATCATCTACCTTCAAGTGTCCTTTAGTTCAAGTCACTTATTGAGTGTCTCTCTAAGTCTATTTCCATTCCTTCTATTTTTTGTATTCCTCCTAAAATTTTTGAGTGTTTCTGATTTGTACATGATTACAAATCCTCTAGGGGGAAGCTTGATCACAAGTCTCTACGATGCATCTTTGTTGGTTATTATGCTAGCCAAAAAGGGATATAAATGCTATCATACACAGTCTCAGAAGATGTATGTTAGCATGGATGTTACCTTTCGTGAATTTGAGTCATTTTTTCTCTACTATCCAAATATCTCTTCAAGGGGAGAGTGCCACTATAGGGGAAGAGACGTTTTGTCGAGAACTTCTCCTACAGTTGCCTATTTAATGGAATGTTATTAAGAGGGAGCAACAACTTATGGAGGGACAAAAGTGATATCAGTGATCTACATGGCAATGCTCACTTGAACAGTGACAATTTGAAGACTTATTCTGGCCGTCAAAAAGTACAAATTATCCATATGCTACCACTGAATGAATTGAATTCCCCAATTCCAGTTCCATCATCCACTGATTTGTCTATGGAAAGCAGAAAGGATGTTCAAGCTTGTACTCAACATCCTATCTCTAACTTTGTTTATTGTAATTCCTTGTCTCCATCCTATCATACTTTTGTTTCCTCCTTGTCTTCTGTGTCTATTCCTCAGGGTTGGAAAGAGATTCTCACTAATCCTAAGTGAAGAGAATCTATAGCAGAGGAAATAAAAGCCTTAAAATAGAATGACACATGGAATTTAGTTCTTATTCCTCCTGTAGCAAGGACAATAGGGTGCAGATGGGTGTTTATCGTCAAACAATAAGCTAATGGGATTGTTATTGTTGAGAGGCATAAAGGTAGGCTGGTTGCTAAGGGATTTACTCAGACATATGGTATTGATTATCAAGAGATTTTTTCTCCGATGGCCAAGATGAACTCCATATATGCTCTTTTCTCTTGTACAACTAATTTGGGGAGGAATTTGAAGCAGTTGGATGTTAAAAATGCCTTTCTTCATGGAGCCTTGGAGGATGAGGTGTACATGGAGATTCCTCCAGATTTTTCATCTCAGATAACAGATGGGAAGGTTTGTAAGCTGAAAAAGTCTCTTTATGGGTTGGAACAATCTTCCAAAGCTTGGTTTGATAGGTTTCTTAAAATCATGCTAAAATTTGGATGTAAACAGAATCATGCTAATCATACTATGTTTGTCAGACAGGTGGATGATAAGATTACAATTCTCATTTTATATGTGGATGACATAGTGATAACTGTGAATGATGAGCATGAGGTCACAAAATTCAAGGTCTAATTGACAAAAGAGTTTGAAATCAAAGACATCTTCCAGAGAAAGTATGTTCTTGACTTGCTTGAAGAAACAGAGGATGTTGGGATGTAGGCCTATCGATTCTCTTATTGAAGTCAATCATTGACTGAGTGGTTGTGTTGGAGAGGTAGTAGAAATAGAGAGATACGAGAGGCTAGTTAGGAGATTAATCTCTCTCACATACTCGCCCAGATATTGCTGATGTAGTAAGTGTTGTAAGTCAATTAATGCACGATCCTTGAACTTCTCAGCTTGAAGCTATTTATCACATTTTGAGGTATCTTAAGTCAGCTCCAAGAAAGAGCCCTTGTTCTCCAATAATGGCCACTTGAAACTAGAAGCATTCAGTGATACAATTGGGCACGTTCAATGGATGATAGAAGATCTATTTAAGGCTATTGCATCCTGATTGTAGGAAATCTTGTTACGTGGCGAAGCAAGAAGTGAATAGTGGTGGCAAGGTCTAGCGCAAAGGCTATAGAGCAAGGCCCCATGGAGTTTGTGAGTTTATGTGGCTCCAAACATTACTGGGAGATCTGATAATTTATGCTGACAAACCTATGAGAATATATTGTGACAACAAAGGCTGCTATGAACATTGTTCATAATTTAGTTCAACATGACATAACTAAACATGTTGAGATTGATTGACACTTCCGTCACACCTCAGATCAGCCAGGCATGCGGTAGGTGTTACCTTGTCTTGTGGACCATTTAATAACATTAAAGTAATATAGCATTGCCTAATGAACCAACCCATAACATACAAATTAAAGTATCACGTATAACATAGATATAGCACATGTACTATACTCAAACTATTACATGCCTTGTCAAATAAGTATACCCTACTCAGTCAAGAGTTACAGTTATTGCAAGTACATGCTTCGATTAATCTCCTAAACTGTATAAAATATTTGTCAGTACATAATGAACAAGTCTTCCCGCTTTCATACAGTTGAAAAGAGGAAAAAACATAAGGTGAACATCAACAACTCAGTAGAGTGACTTAATTTTCAAGCAAAAGAGTTTGAAAATACATATTTTGGCATGATTTAGCAAAAGCAAAATGAGCATTTTACACACACACACACACACAAGTAAATACATCATTTCATGTAAATAGCGTCATTTTTGTAAAATTGAAAGGTAAAAGAGAGTTTACAAACATCTTGTACAAAGCTTCACTAGTGGGCAATCATCCTAATGGACCACTCAAGGCCAATACGAACATATGATCCAACATTTCGAGGGAATTTCACCTTGAGAAAGGTACGCTCCCTAGTCAAAGTTTAGCACCTAAGTCCGAAGACCAACTGAGTCACCCAAACATTTACGAACTCAATTAGAAACCCTCTATGGCCTCAACCTGAAACGTAAACTCTTTGGCACAACTTGTGTGCACTTACATTTCATACAAAAGGATCCCAATGTTTTAATCAGTACGAACCATACGATCATTTCAAAGTC